GCCCCAGGGCTTTACTAAATGTTATTCCCTTGCTTTCTTTACCACTTTTGGAATAAAGGGACTGTTAATTTAGACATGTGCGTCATATATATATACATATCTATATCTATATATCTATTTATACATCAGTTAGTTCCGACTGAGGAATTTGATTGGACAAGAGGCATTCCGTGAGTGCTGATATAGAGTATAACATCACTGGGACTTGTAACAGTAAAATCACTCCGCTCACAGGTGTTATAAATATAAATAAACTGTCACACTCGCTACATTGACGCAAACTGACACTATAGCGTTACACCAAGAAGATGGATATTTTCCCCCAAATTACATTTGAATTAAATTATGAGTGGTCGTCAGGAGAGGACGAGGAAAAGGAAAGCCAGGACTCTTCTCTGCAGACCTCATGTGTTTGTGTAACATCAGCCGACCTCGACAAACTGGAGAGGAGCAAAAATGAAGCGAACACGGTCAGGAGTTATCAATGATCATCTGATGAGGTACTGATGAGGATGAGGGAGAGTGGAAGCTGAATCCTGCCGTGCCAACATCCAGGTTTGCCAACGTTTCATCAGCCGAACTGGACGAAGTTACACAGCTGCAGATCAATGTAAATACAAAGTAGTTTGTGAGTTCCTGGCATGTGTGCTGCGTTGCCTGGCAACGGACTGGGGGAACTGTTTTTTTGGGGGGGAGCTACATAACATACTTAAATAATTTATTTCATCACCTTTTGTTAACATTTCCTTACTCAGCATTGCTGTTTAAGCTGTTGTTGAACTGTTGTATAAAAGCAATATCACACTCGAGGTCGTGATGTTGTATCGTCACGTCTGTAATTGTCTTCTATGACCGAATTACAGCTGTAACGATATACAGTAGGCTACGTCACTCCCTCTTGTGTGATATTGCTTAAATATATCTATCTATATCTATATATACATACATATATATATATATAGATAGATAGATAGATAGATAGATAGACAGATAGATATGACGCACGTGTGTAAATTAACAGTCCCTTTATTCCAAAAGTTGTAAAGGAAGCAAGGGAAGAACATTTAATAAAGCCCTGGAGGATGGGAGTGGATGAACCCGGTTAAAGAGTACCCGCCGGACAGGACGCTCTAATACTAAAGCGAGCGTGCCCACAAGGAGGCAGGGATCATTTCATTTGTCAACAGTAAATCTGGCATTCTATTGGTTGGGGGATTTTGACAGGGTTGTTACACAAAAAAACCCAAGTGCAGGGCAGAAAGCTGAGAGCAGAAATTCTACTAGCGCACAGAAACAGTTTGAGCGCGAGGAGAAAAGCTGAAGCTCGAGCAGGAAATCTGTGCGAGCAACATTGTATCTGAATGCGAGCAACATTGTATCTGAATGCAAGCAACATTGTATCTGAGTGCGAGCACACAGTTTGAGCAGAAACAGAGTAGATCCAAGTGCAAGCAGAGGCTATTTGAGTGCGAGGGCAGGGTTTTTGAGCGTGAAATCAATAAATAATGCTCTCAAACTGATAGACCACCCTCTTGAATAAAGATAGGGATAAAGCTCCATAGTATTTAAAATTAAACTATCTTATCTATGAGTGAACACACAGTTTTGAAAAGGACTGTATCAACAGGGGCGCCGCCAGGGATTTTGGGCCCCATGAAAATAATGTTTACTGGGCACAATTTTTGATGCTATTTTACATAAAACTATGCTTTTTCATGTTATTTTTGACTATCATTCCCACATTTGTGAAAAAAGAACAATCTCTTCCTCCACTTTCACATTCCTCCCTGACAAACTTGAAGAGGATCCTGGACCTGGCTCTGTAGAGTGTATGTTATAGGGCTGACCCAAAAAATTCGAAGCTTCAAAGCTTCGTTCGATGGCACGGGATTCGATTGTGGAAAAAAAAAAAATCGAATATTCGGCCTTTTTTTTATCCCGTTTTTTGGGGGGGCCTTGAACACAACACCATATCCAAAAAGGAAATAGAAAGCCCGACGTGCAATGAATGGAGACCTATTATCCTGCTTGAACACAGACAACTAAATTCTTTCAACAATGTGACTCAAAATAATGATAATAATAATAATAGATTTTATTGATGTAAAAAAATAATATGCTGATGGTGACATTTTCCACCGGTCCGCTGCGCTCTGAGTCTGGTGTCAGTGACACATGCTGCTCTGAGTCGCGCATCTGTCTGCTTGCGCTGCAGTGCGCACTGAGGGTTTTAATTTTTAGTGTTAAATCAAAAGTTTAACACTACTTATCAGCAACCAGAAGTGTTTTTTTCGTTTGTGAATATTTTTATCTTAATTCTAGGGTTGCAAGAAACTACCTTTTCGCTATAATTTGTAAGTTATTAACTTCTTTGGACTTTTTTTTTTCACTCAGCAAAAAAAAAAAAAAAAAAAAAAAATGTTGTTTGCTTGCTCATCCCTAACTAAAATGATCACCTTCTTCTGAACATTAACTTTGTCCCTGGTCTATAAGCTGCTTATAGACCAGGGACAAAGTTAATATTCCATAACTTTCCACCACATGAACCACTAACAAACCCACCTTGCTTTTTGAAATATTGGGTGACATACTGTCGACTCTTTGCTTCTTTCTCCTCTCTTAGCTTCCTTTCTTTCCGTTTTTGGCTACCTGTCTTTTGAGGCATATTGCCGTCTCCGCCTCCTTACCCGCTGTCTGTGACAAATTATGGTGCACTGCAGCTGATTCAGTTGGACTGAACCATTTTACATAAATAGAGAGGGGGGGCATTAATGTTTCCAAAACAAATAAAGTTATTGTTACCAGTACATTGTAAATAAAATATATTTGTGATTATAAGTTAGTTAATAACTTAGTGTCATATTATTTTTTGTCAGTATTATAATTTTATTAGGGGCCTCTCTGGGCCCCTCTTAATCATGGGCCCCTAGAATCCCTCTCCTTTTCCCCCCTTTTACATCTGCAAACATAACCTGTCTAAACTCTGCATGAGGTCAGTGTTGGCTTAGTAAACAATATATTTCCTCCTCTAGTGGCTTCATTTTTACATCACCATCCAGGTGGCAGAGTACATATTGACTCTCATTCCTGGAGCTCCTAATAAGCCAGCAGGATGATGCCCTCCATCAGCATCAGCTGCACATACACATTTCAATTTTCTACATTTACAGAGCCAAACAGCAGCAGAGATTACAAAGAAAGCCGGGAAGTGTCCGGGTCGGGACACTGGAAGTAGGGAAGGGGCCATTGCCCTTCCATTTCACACCCCTGGCTCACATTTGTTTTAAGTCACAGATTGCTGTGAGCGACTGGAGTGATCAAATCACAAGATGGCCTCTAGTTTGTTTTGCCACTGTTGCATGGAGTAAATCAAAGTACACAAAATGAAACTGAAGTAATTCTGGTAACAATACAAAACTACATTTCCACTGTACATACTTGTATAAGACAGCTATAGAAGTCCAACGGCAATCAACCCTCATTTAGCCACAAGAACTCATCCACATCACACCTTCTGTCCTCTGTTGCAACACACCAGGAGACAATCTTTTTGTATGTCTTCAGCAATCTGGAGAAGATGTGTCCAGATGACCAGCATTCATTGTATCCAAGAGGGACATCTGGTCATGTGGCTGGTGGTCATAAACTTTTCATCTCCACCAGGAAAACAATTCCTTTAAGGGGTTGAGCAGTGGAGAGTAAAACCCCATTTCCACCGAGATGTCAGGTTCAGTTCAGTTCAGTTCAGTTCAGTACACATTAGAACGGGTATTTTTCCATTTCCATGGTGAAAAGTTGTACCAATAGAACCATTTCATACTTGGGTTACCTAGCACACTGATCTGTAGCAAGTCTTTCATACATTAGTGAACTACCATATAACTATAAAATGAAAGGGTGTTTTCTTCATCTTTACCAGTTAACAGCAGCTAGAAACTGAGAAAAATATAATTTAATACACTGTGCTATTCAAAGGCTACCGCATGCAGCTAACGTCAACTTTTAAGGTGGAATGTTTTCTTGCCTGTTACTCAATGCATGAGTTGAGGCCACAAATCTATCAACACTCTTCAGATGTCAATATGACAACTTTGATCATTCTATTTGGTTTTATTTTCTCTTGCATGACATATGCTTTGTTGACTATTGGATCTGCAAGCACTTTAAAAATGGATGTGAATTTCAATCGGTTTATGTTAACTGCAAATGTTCTATTTTGTCATTTTTAGATAAATGTGCTGGAGAGTTGTTGTTGTTGTTGTTCACACCTGCTCTTACTCGACAAGGATTCAGTGCACAAACCTGTTTTTTTTTTTAAATATCCCATTGAGACAGACTCTCACTCCAACCTGTCCTTTTTGGTTCTGACAATGTTGGTGTGCAAACCCATTCCGTGGACGAAAAAGAAATGAAAATAGGCACTCAGTGTCCCAAAATATCTTTTTAGGTATGTTTTGAATGTAAATTTCACAGTACTGACAATAGCATGCAAACATAATGAAGTGTAAATACACAGAGTTTTGGTGGTGGTTGAGTTTGAGCAAGAACAGGTCATACATTTTGACTAATGTGGTGATTGAATGCATTTTGTCAAAGCAATAAAAAGGGATCCACACTTAAGTCCACTGTGAGATCTGTTGTGCTGACTGTGGAGTTTTGAAAAGGTGAACTCATAGAGAGCAATTTAAGTTAGCCATTGTGATAAACTGTAAATCTACATGTGTGCTCTTTGAGCTATACAATATTTTTACATCCATCACACACCAAACATCTGCTGGTCTTGCTGTGAGTCCTTGACAATTCATAAAGTCTGAAAAATAGAGACCTTCTCATAATGCTAGTCTTCCATATTATTATTTGATACCATTGTTTCTGCTTGAGATTTCATATCTTTGTGATGACATTCTCTCAGTTGGAATTGTTACCATATTTTACTCTACTGTATTAGGTGTTTTGGTAATACTTTGAATTTAACAGTGGTGACTGTTGCAGTGACTCACTCAGGATGTGGAGCTCCAGTCTTGGTCAGAAGCGTGAGGAGGAAAAACATAAAGATGACAAAGACAGCCAGGCCGACCCAGAAGCCAATCACTATAGAGTCTATAAGATTAAAAGAAACAAAAAAAGATGCAGGATATGATCCCTGGTGACAGTGGTGATAAATTGACTCAGTGTTCTGACAACACAACCTCATTACAAAACTCATACTCGTAGTAACCATGATACAATGGTTTGAAAGAGATGATACACACATATTAAATGAAATCAATATCCTGCAGCAGTTACAGTCATATATTGAGAGGTAATCACATAGCTTGCACCCCAGACACAACAGACATTTTCCCTCAGGATAGTGATAGGAAGTGAAATACCACATTGTGTGCATAAATTCACGCAGATACACTAGAGAACATGTAATGAAATAAGATAAGCTTCTTCCTCAGGGGACCATTAATATTCACAACAAATTTCAAGTCAGCCATTGGATGTTTTGTAATCAAAGCTGACAGTCTGATCTGATGGTAGAGCTTTTCTTAAATTGAGTGTCCAAAATGGGAAGGGTTCTTCCTCTGGGGAGTTTAAACATGCTCTATATATATATGTATATATATATATATATATATATGTATATAGAATATATATATACAGTACAGGCCAAAAGTTTGGACACACCTTCTCATTCAATGTGTTTTCTTTATTTTCATGACTATTTACATTGTAGATTCTCACTGAAGGCATCAAAACTATGAATGAACACATGTGGAGTTATGTACTTAACAAAAAAAGGTGAAATAACTGAAAACATGTTTTATATTCTAGTTTCTTCAAAATAGCCACCCTTTGCTCTGATTACTGCTTTGCACACTCTTGGCATTCTCTCCATGAGCTTCAAGAGGTAGTCACCTGAAATGGTTTCCACTTCACAGGTGTGCCTTATCAGGGTTAATTAGTGGAATTTCTTGCTTTATCAATGGGGTTGGGACCATCAGTTGTGTTGTGCAGAAGTCAGGTTAATACACAGCCGACAGCCCTATTGGACAACTGTTAAAATTCATATTATGGCAAGAACCAATCAGCTAACTAAAGAAAAACGAGTGGCCATCATTACTTTAAGAAATGAAGGTCAGTCAGTCCGGAAAATTGCAAAAACTTTAAATGTGTCCCCAAGTGGAGTCGCAAAAACCATCAAGCGCTACAACGAAACTGGCACACATGAGGACCGACCCAGGAAAGGAAGACCAAGAGTCACCTCTGCTTCTGAGGATAAGTTCATCCGAGTCACCAGCCTCAGAAATCGCAAGTTAACAGCAGCTCAGATCAGAGACCAGATGAATGCCACACAGAGTTCTAGCAGCAGACCCATCTCTAGAACAACTGTTAAGAGGAGACTGCGCCAATCAGGCCTTCATGGTCAAATAGCTGCTAGGAAACCACTGCTAAGGAGAGGCAACAAGCAGAAGAGATTTGTTTGGGCCAAGAAACACAAGGAATGGACATTAGACCAGTGGAAATCTGTGCTTTGGTCTGATGAGTCCAAATTTGAGATCTTTGGTTCCAACCGCCGTGTCTTTGTGAGACGCAGAAAAGGTGAACGGATGGATTCCACATGCCTGGTTCCCACTGTGAAGCATGGAGGAGGAGGTGTGATGGTGTGGGGGTGTTTTGCTGGTGACACTGTTGGGGATTTATTCAAAATTGAAGGCACACTGAACCAGCATGGCTACCACAGCATCCTGCAGCGACATGCCATCCCATCCGGTTTGCGTTTAGTTGGACGATCATTTATTTTTCAACAGGACAATGACCCCAAACACACCTCCAGGCTGTGTAAGGGCTATTTGACCAAGAAGGAGAGTGATGGAGTGCTGCGGCAGATGACCTGGCCTCCACAGTCACCGGACCTGAACCCAATCGAGATGGTTTGGGGTGAGCTGGACCGCAGAGTGAAGGCAAAGGGGCCAACAAGTGCTAAACACCTCTGGGAACTCCTTCAAGACTGTTGGAAAACCATTTCAGGTGACTACCTCTTGAAGCTCATGGAGAGAATGCCAAGAGTGTGCAAAGCAGTAATCAGAGCAAAGGGTGGCTATTTTGAAGAAACTAGAATATAAAACATGTTTTCAGTTATTTCACCTTTTTTTGTTAAGTACATAACTCCACATGTGTTCATTCATAGTTTTGATGCCTTCAGTGAGAATCTACAATGTAAATAGTCATGAAAATAAAGAAAACGCATTGAATGAGAAGGTGTGTCCAAACTTTTGGCCTGTACTGTATATACCATAATACCTTCCTGAAATGTCACATGACGGTATTAGTATTTGTTGCTGTTCTACCCACCTCCCATAAGTTTGATAAATAAACAATATAGTCTCACAAAATGTCAAGAAAGTTAATATTCCTAAACCCATTTTCCTTATTAAATAAAGAATCCAGGGCGACACGGGGGTGTGGTGGTTAGCACTCTCGCCTCACAGCAAGAGGGTTGCCGGTTTGATCCCGGGTGTGGGAGCCCTTCTGTGCAGAGTTTGCATGTTCTTCCCGTGTCATTGTGGGTTCTCTCCGGGCACTCTGGCTTCCTCCCACAGTCCAAAGACATGCAGATTGGGTACTAGGTTAATTGATAACTCTAAATTGTCCGTAGGTGTGACTGTGAGTGTGAATGGTTGTTTGTCTCTATGTGTCAGCCCTGCGATAGTCTGGCGACCTGTTCAGGTTGTACCCTGCCTCTCGCCCGATGTCAGCTGGGATAGGCTCCAGCCCCCCTGCGACCCTCAAGAGGATGAAGCGGTTAGAAGATGAATGAAATAAAGAATCCAAGTTTCTCTCTTTCACCAAACTGAGATTAATATTAGCTTTATTGCCTTGTTAACTCACAGTAAAACACTTTCATGCTCAACATAACAAAATAAAACTCTCATCTTAGTTAGCCTTGGTAGTCGTATAGTTAGTAAATTTTTCCAACAATCACCATCTCTGGCCTGGTAAAAATAAACCCTTAATTCACAGAGTTAGATGTGAAAATATGTTGTTTCCCCCTGCAGTCTCTCTCTGCTGCTGTGGCTGTAACAGTCCTGTCATGTTATCCCCACCACTCGCAGTCACGTGTTTGTCTGCTCAGCTGCTTGTTCCACCAGACTGACCTCTGGTGGCATGTGCTGTGCACTACATTTATTTTATGATATTTTGATGGCTGGCGTATTGCGGTAAGCGAGTTGTGTCATTTCTGGTGTTTCTGTGACAGCGTCTCTGTACTGCTCTGGTGGATTCTACTAGCCTGCTTTCTCACTTCAGTTGCTTTAACGTTGCTTTAACGTCTACTTCAAGTCTTAACCCACACTGGTTCTGTTTAACCACTTATAGCTCTCCTTCTTTCTGCGACTTTCTCGCTAATCTCTTAGCTGTTGTTTGCACGTTACTAGCCTTGGTAGCTACATTAGCTTTACAGTTAGCGATGGCTTCTCCCTCTGCTCTTTCTTGCTCGGTGTGCCAAATGTTCAGTTATGCCTCTGCCTCCTTTAGCGACAGTGGTAATTGTAATAAGTGTAGCTTATTTGCTGCATTGGAGGCGAGGCTTAGTGAATTAGAAGCGCGGCTCCGCACCATGGAAAACCATTCAGTAGCTGCGGTAGTTAGCCAGCCCCCTGTAGCCGGTGCGGAGCCACATAGCATAGCCTTAGCCTCTGCTAGCGGTCCTTCGGTAACTCCCGTTCAGCCAGGAGGTTGGGTTACGGTTCGCCAGAAGCATAGCTCCAAGCCGAAGCCCACGGCTCCCCACCAGCCTGTTCACGTTTCCAACCACTTTTCCCCACTCAGCGACCCCACCCGCTGAGGATAAAACTCTGGTTATTGGCAGCTCTATTCTGAGAAACGTGAAGTTAGCAACACCAGCGGCCATAGTCAAATGTATCCCTGGGGCCAGAGCGGGCGACATTGAATCAAATTTAAAACTGCTGGCTAAAGCTAAATGTAGATTCAGTAAGATTGTTATTCACGTCGGCGGCAATGACACCCGGTTACGCCAATCGGAGGTCACTAAAATTAATATTGCCTCGGTGTGTGAATATGCAAAAACGATGTCGGACTCCGTAGTTTTCTCTGGACCCCTCCCAAATCTGACCAGTGATGACATGTTTAGCCACATGTCATCATTTAATCGCTGGCTGTCCAGGTAGTGTACAGCAAACGATGTGGGTTTCGTTAATAATTGGCAAACTTTCTGGGGAAAACCTGGTCTTATTAGGAGAGATGGCATTCATCCCACTTTGGATGGAGCTGCTCTCATTTCTAGGAACCTGGCAAACTTTATTAGTAATTTAAATCCCTGACAACCCAGAGTTGAGATCAGGACTCAGAGTCGCAGCCCTATACGCCTCTCTGAGCTTCTAGTTCAGTTACCCAGCCATAGTTTTCATAGTTTTATACAAACGGTGTCTGTCCCCCGACCACCTAAATTATTTAAATCTAAAATTAAACAAAGAGGAGTTGTGCATAATAACCTCATAAAAATTAAAACCTCTTCTGTGACAGAAAGACAAAACAGGAGAATTAAATGCGGACTGTTAAATATCAGGTCTCTATCGTCTAAAGCAGTGTTAGTAAACGAATTAATATCAGATAATCATATTGATTTACTCAGTCTCAC